TTTGAAAGGTGAAAATGACATACCATTTTTTTGTTCATTTGACCTTTTTATTACAATTGAGGTCAAACATTTTTCCTACTTATTTGTTAGCCATTTTATTTCTTCTTTCATAATTTACTGGTGCATGTCCTTTGCTCATTTTTCTATTAGATAAGTAATGGTTCTTTTTATTGATTTATAAGAACTTTAAAATATAAGCGTGTTCATTTTGTTGTAATATTTTTTAGCAGCTTGATCTTTGGACACATGTCTTTTCTATTAATAGCTTCATCTATCTGTTTATGCATTTGAATGTCATAATTGGAGGCTCAAAGAATGCATAGGAGGAAACAGAGAGGAGCAACTCAACAATGTGGTAAAACCAAGATAAATAGTTTCATAGCAGCACTTACCAGGAGCTGGGGATGAAGACATAGTGGGTCAGCCTGGTGCTGGTGGCTCATATCTATAATCTTAGCTATTTGGGAAGCTGAGATGCAAAGGATCAGGGTTTGAAATCAGTGCAGGCAAATAGTTCACAAGACCCCATCTCCAAAGTAACCAAAGCAAAATGGATTGGAGGTGTGGCTGAAGTGGTAGAGCACTTGCCTAGCAACTGTGAGGCCCTGAGTTCAAACCCCAGTACCACCAAAAAAAAAAAAAAATCAGACTATGAGTGTCATAATTGATAAGTACCTGGATATAAATTAAGAGCCAATTTACATAACTTGTGGTTCCAAACATAGCAGGATCCATATTTAAACTGAACTTTGAGGAAAATTCTAGTAGAACTGAGCGAATAATTCTAAGAGTACTACTAAGTGTTATTCAAGGGGATTTAGCTGTGGTAAGATCTGAACTATGGAAGTGCCAGCATCAGTCATTATGCAGATACCATATTCCCTGGCATGTAATTTCCAAGCCCTGTCTCCTGGTCCTTGAAAGACATTAAAGTGAGGGACTAGTTTATTGGTATTAACTTAGGCTTCAGACTGCTAAGAATAGTGAAACACTCTCCAGTTTCCCTTCCTGATCTCCAAATGTATCTAAATTCAAAGACAGCCTTTATCAGTATTAGTTAAGCTTAAACCCCTGCATAGTCCATTCACAGGCACTATCAGAAGGTACATGGAAAAATTGTGGACTGGGCTGGAGTAGTGGCTCATGTGGTAGAGCGCCTGCCTAGCAAGCATGAGGCTGAGTTCAACCCCAGTACCACAAAAAAAAAAAATCATTTCTTTGCTGGGCGCCAGTAGCTCATGCCTATAATCCTAGCTACTCAAGAGGCAGACATCAGGAGGATCGCCGTTCGAAGCCAGCACAGGCAAACAGTTCATGAGACCTTATCTCAAAAGAACCCATCATAAAAAAGAGCTGGTGGAGTAATGGCTCAAGGTGAAGGACCTGAGTTCAAGCCCCAGTACTGCAAAAAAAAAAAAAAAAAAAAATTTGTCATCTAAAATTCCAATTTGCAGAGCCCATTCAATCCCAGTGTGAGATATACAAAGCAGCTTGTTAACTCCTGTTTGGGCTTTTGTTCCTTTGTAAGTGTCCTCATTTGTAGACATGCTCCTTTAAATAAAGCTTCCTTAGAAATACACATTTCTGAAACATGTACAAACAATACATCTTGAGAGAGTATTGCAGATGTTTTTCCTGATTTAGCAGAAGTTGATTGTAACTAGAAACATTATGACTAGTCCTTGTCCAAGACTAACTTCTGTTTCTGTTCATTTATCATTATTCGCTGCTTGGTAGGGACTTAAAGTGTGTTTTCCTTTACAGATGACCCACCGTGCACAGGTCCACTGCTCTCTGTTGTCTCCATTGTCCAGTAGAGTCAAGCCAACCATTCTCATGTTACAATTTGATTATCCACCAAAATCTTTATGAATACAACATAATTATCTTTGGGACATTGTCTATAGAATTATCTTAAAAGATGAATCCTTTTGTAAATGTTTCTATCAAAAAAATAAGAGAAATTATGGCAGTGAACATTAAGTCATAAAAATAAATTAGATAAAATACACAAAATAATTAAACTGTGGAGCTGTATGCTCACATTACTTATATCACCACAGAAAAGAGGGCTCAACCCAAAACTGGTGGCAATGGTGGTATTCTTATCAAGCATACTAGGACATAATATAAAGATGTTGGTGGCATTAAAATAGGATTTTGTTCTGTGTTATTTGTATGCCCAGCTCAAATATCTCCAGCAAAAGAAGGTCTGATATGAATCAACTATTCAAAATATTTAGATAATTATGTGTCATCAGTGAGATTGTCAACTTAAAATTGTGTGACAGAGAGACTCTCCAAAGCAGAGTTTATTTAAGGACTAGCAGTGTTTGCAGTTCTGATACACATACTGTGGTAGATTGTCAGTATATGTAAAGAGGTTCAAGCAAAGGGGAAGTTTCAAAGACAGAAGTTTGTGTGTGAGTGTGTGTGTGTGTTTTGTTTTTAAAGAAGTCTGTGTAAGTAAGCTATCTTATAAGAACTTGTTTCAGGAGTTAATGTTAACTTGCTAATGAGACAGTCATTAGGCACGTATTCTTATACAAACATCTTATTTGAAATATTCAAAGTGTTTATCTGTAATACTGCAATTTTGAGAAATTGCATGCATTATTCCTGTCATAGGCATGTATGCGTGAAGGCCCTTCCTTCATCACTTCCTAGCTCCATTTTTTGTTTCCTTCAGTACTGGGGTTTGAACTCACTCCATTGTGCTTGCTGGGCAGGCACTGTACCACTTGAGCTATACGCCAGCCCCATTTTGTTAATTTGACTCCATTTTGATCCTGATAACTTGCACTGGAGACTAGAGAGAAATAATATGATTAATCAATAATCCAAAACAGTTTCAGCATTCAAGGGAGGAGAGGAATAATAAAGGTGTTTATTTTAAATTGCTTAAAAAAACTGAAGGGCTGGTGAAGTGGCTCGAAGTATAGGCCCACTACCGAACAAATAAATAAAAAATAAACTATGAATCTTTACATGATCTGCAAATTCCACAGTAGAAAGTACAAAAAACTTTTGTCTCTTAACAATTTTATTCTTAAAATGTGTTGTAACACAGTGATTACTAAGAGCTCATCTCAGGAAATTATTAGTTACAGTTATTGTAATACAATTTCTAAATCCATACTTGAGGATCTCTCAGAATGTATGAATTATTTAAATCTCAGAAAATAAACATTGTAGCTTTTACTACAGTATTTAGGTCAGTTCTTTTTATTCATATTTTAAAATGCTTTCCATATACCCAGCATTATTGAGCACAGAGAGACTAGATCAGGATGGGTAGGGGATCCCCAACTGACAGTCCGGAAAGCACATTGACAACTGAGAGAAGGTTGTTCAAGAAGGCAGTGTCTGCACTTTACCTCTCTCCTCCCAGGCAGATTTCAGAAACAGGTACAGTGGAGAGGTCCATGTAAGCTGCTAGGATGGAGGAGGATGTCAGTCAGTGATGAGAACAACCCTAGGCCTGGGCTTCAAGGGCAGGACTCTATGCTGAATCCTGGTCTGCCGTAATGGGGTTACTGAGCAGGTTATCCCAACAGATAAAACTATAGAGTAAAAATCTAGGGACTAGTTTATACAAATAGGGAAAAGCCTGTTCTCACTAGAAATGGATCACAGGAAGGTCCTAGCTAGCTATAGGCTACCTTGATACCAAGTCCTTTGGCCAAGTTCCAGAACTCCTTAACCATTCTCCATGTGTCCAGGAGGCCAGCAAGTCCTAGGGAGAGCAGAGAGCAAGAGCGTTCCAGAGATGTCAGGGCTGAAGGCCCTTCAAAGCCACATGATTATCTCCTCAGATGTTCACCTTCTTCCACATTAATCACAAGGAATGATTATTCTTTTACCCCTTTTTCATGGAATAATTGCTTTGTTACCCATATACTCGTGGACTACAGATGACCTATGAGGCTTTGTCCAGGTCTGCTCTTATTAGCTTGTAAGGTCTCATGTCCTTTCTTTCAGGACTGGTCCATACACTAGCCCTATGTTTTCTATCATCATTACATGAAAGATCACTACCACTGCTACCACCATAGTTTTTCCTCCTGAGCAAAGTGCCCATTTGTAATAGGAAGCAAGAGAAGCATACACTCTGGCAGTGGGTTGATGTGCTCAGTGGTTGTCTACTAAACATTTAACCCTTTTTACCAGCATACTCTATGTCTTAAGGAGCAAAGTGATCTGGAAATTAAAAGACCTGGGCACTAACCTAGGTCCTATTAATTACCACTTGTTCTTCACCTCTCAAATTGACTGTGATTAAATCTGTCTCCCCCTGTATAGATAAAACAATCTAGTGCCCTGTGAAAAAAGACAAGCAACATGCCAGGTGAGTTTCCTCAGCTCCCCAGCAGACTTAAAGGCAAGTCAGGACCACTTTTATCCTTGATTGAAGATTAGGATTCAGAATCAAGTCAGTTATCTTTTTCCTTAGTACATCCTACTCAGCCATTTAGTTTTTCTGCTATCTTCCCCTTTTGGGGGAATTGTTAAGAGGTCATTTCTGGGAGGTTGGGAATACTGCAAGATCACATTTTTCCAGATATCTCTCTCTCTCTCAATCCCAACTAACTTCGTTACATGTATAGAAAGCAGAATTCATGATATGAAAGAATACATCTTTCCTTCCAATAGGAGGTCTAGGATTCTGACTTTTGTACATATCAAAGGGAGAATAAACCACCTCAAATAAACAGAGGTGATCACATCAGAACACTAGTGCATTACTTAGATAAGATTTAGTCTTCAAAAAAGTATGTTATTTTGAGTAAAAATTGTTGTATAGAATTAAATTGTGCTGGAAAATAACCAAATGTTATTTTATCTTGAGGACATTTTAATTTCAGTTAATGTCAAGAAGTAAATTAAATCCTAAGTAAAGATTAACCTAAAATTATATTTGAAGTGTGAATCTTTGAGACCAAGGGGAATATGGTTACAATTTGTTTTGATTTCTTTGTGCTTTCTTTGAAACACTGTAGGCAACAGCATTATTGAAAAAAGCCCTTACAGAAGAGTGTGACCATAGGTCAGCTATTCACAGTGATGAATCATTTTGCAGCTTGTCATCTATTCTGAATGACAATAGTGGAATAAAGGAAGCAAAGTCTGCTCTGTGGCTCAACAGTGTTCTTACAAGGGAACAAGGTAACTATTGTTAAACAGTCTGTCCACAGCAAAAAGGCATTCAGAGTCAATGCAACACCCTTTTTCTCCAGGCATACCTATAAAATATCACCAACTAGAGGCTATCTCTGATTTTGAGATGAATAATATGTTATTTTATACCACTTTCCAATAAATATGTATGTTCTCATAGCATCTAATAGGAATAGGAAACCTAATTATAGGTTCTGCTAAATTTTTGAGTAAATAAGTAATTGTAAGTTATGAAATCATAGCAAACCTATTCATTTGGCAGTAGTTTTTAGACAAGAAATAAACTAACCAAAACAAATACGTGGAAAGGTAGTGAAAATAAAAGGAGTGACCATTAAAACACAAAATATAACTTTGAAGTACATTTTTATTATCATGTGTTCAATTTTTAGAAGTTTCAAGTGGCTGTGAAGATGAGAGCAAGGAAGAAAGTGTGACTGCAAAAGTTCCAATCACAGGTAAAACTATGGGTGCCTGACAGCTTCAAACACAGAGTACAGTCTTATTACATAATCAGAACATTCAAGATTATTGGTTTGTGGACCCCATTAAGAACTACTATATTCAATTACTGCATGCTAGAGCAGGAGATTGATCATAAGAGTATAACATATAAGGTATGTGAACATACACTGCAGAGGCAAATAACATAACAAAGGTGTCCGGTGAGCTCTTTATCATGATGTTATATATTTATGCCTGTAAACATACTCCATCCTGAAGCCTTTCAGCACCTGCATCTGTGTGAGAATGGCCAATCTCTCAGGGGAACATTCAGTCATTATATGACAAAGCACAGATGTTGTGGATTTTACTCTTTTCTTTCCTGTAGTAATTGTGAAGGTATATCATTAAAATAAGAGACAGGAAAAAAGTACCAGACAGAAAGCTTGCTTGTGCCACAGTTACAAAACCCATCTGGTAATTTAAAAATTTTACCAGTCAGGCTTCATCAAGACCTATTAAGATTTCTGCACATGTATAAGATGTATTTAGATGGAATCTGAATGATATCATTACTTTTTAGGTTTAGACTATCAATAGCAGCAATTAGTATTCTGAACAGTGTCCTATTTATTGTACATCTAAATTTACTAGTACCTTATTTTGTAAAGTGGTGTGCTACTTCATTATAAATTCAAAGGTCTGACTTTAAATATTTATATGAGTAAATACTCCATCGCACCGAGGTACTGAGGCATGTATCTGCATATGTGATAGTTTTGTTCTTGTTTATAAGCAGAAAAGAATAGCTTGCTTTTATGACAGTACAATTCATGGCACAATGATTAATTTTTTTAATGTATGTTTCTGTGATGAACTCTGGTTTTGAAAAAGGAGTTTATAGTAGAGCAATTATGTATCAAATAATATTTCACTCCAAAATACAAAGATTTTCTTCTCTTTTTAACATTTTTTCCCCAGTGATGTTTATTGTGCTTTTATTCTTCATTTTAAGAAAACTCTGGTAAAGGCCCCTCATGATTATTTTTATTAATAGGAGAAAGATAGAAGATTCCCCCCAATTTCAGATAACCAAGATGTCATTTGGATATCTTTTTTCTTGCATTTACCTTTGAATGTAGAAGTATCTAATGACCTCTGGATTTATTTCAGTTAATTTCTAATAAGCCTGTAAGTTTATTCTGTTAACTGAGAAATGACATAATAGCTCATTCTTACTTCTCTTTTCAGTATTCATTCCAATCTCTCTTGCTGTAAGTAGGTGACACTCCCAAAATTAATGTAAATGTTGTTTTCTCATAGATTGTCTTTCTAAGGGAAGAGATAGTTTTAAGCTAGGGTTTCAAATCTTTCTTCTCAAATCTTTCTTCTCTTCATGCAGAAAGAAGGGTGATAGGCCTAGATGTAATCAGGGCTATTTGCCAGTAAGATTTTTTTTTAAATTGTAAGTCTAACAACCTGCCACCAACTCATCAATTGTTTAAAAGAAAATGCTGTGTGCCTGTTGTGCCAAAGTATTAGACATACAAAAAATAGCTTGGGAGGTATGGAAAAAAAACTTTGTAAAGCTGTTTATTCATTAGAACATTGCTGTTCTATCCTTGCCACCAAACCCTCATTCTTCTGAGCCTCTGACCCTCAGACCTCCCATGAAGGCCTCATGCACCTTGACTCTACTTAATACTGTTTCTCTGCCTGTCATTGTAGCTACTTTGGTCTCTAAGTTCTTGACCATCATCCCTTTATTAAATTTTTGTGTCTTTGGCATGATTATTTGGAGATTTGACTTTTGGTAGAGTAAGGCAAGTTTGATTTTAGATCAGGTCTGCCCACTCCTTTATAGTAGTTCTGATAGAGTTTCTTGTTTGTGTAGGTGCATTCTGATTGTGTTTATATGAGCTGCATTCCTTCTATAATAGTCCAAAGAAAAGAATTAGTTCAGAGGCTATTCCCAAGGGTACCCCCTTGCTGAGAAGATGTGGCTGCTGAACCTGAGCTTTGACATCAACCATCTATGCTGGCTTCCACAATCCCTAACATTTCCAAACCAGTGACATAGTCAAAAGGAACTTTACAGGGCCAGGCACAGTGGCTCATACCTGTAATTCTGGCTACTTGGTGGAGATCAGGAGAACCAAAGTTCATGGCCAGTCTGGGCAAAAAGTTAGCCAGATCCCATCTCAATCAGTAAGCTGGTGTGATGGTGCATACCTGTGAGCCCAGCGACAAAGGACGTCATAGGTAGGAGACTCAAGTGTCCAAGGCAAAAATGCCAAGACTCTATTTGAAAATAACTGAAGCGAAAAGGGCGGGGGTATGACTCAAGTAGTAGAATACCTGCCTAGCAAGCATGAGGCCCTGAGTTAAAACCCCCATACTACAAAAAAAAAAAAAAAAAGAAGAAGAAGAAGAAGAAGAACTCTACAAAAGAAGCAGGGGGGATGGGGATGCAATGCCACAGCAGAAAAAGAAATCCTGAGATGAACCCTGCAAAGGGAGTTCTGGACATCTCCAGTGTGTTACTCTGTCACCTGCTTGTCTTCCCTGAGTTATGGTAGCCACTTGGGACCAAGACCAGCCCAGACAGTACTGCTATGATTTTGCCAAGACAGTACTTCCTAATAGTACCATTCAATTAGTTCCTGCAAGAAATTTCCACTTGAGAACACAATTGATGATTTGAATCCAAATGGATGTTTACCCTCATCAAAAAGGAATCTTGGAGAGTTTCCTAATACTTTTGGAACTCCTAACCAGTCCCATGAGGAAATCCTTAGAGAAGAATCCCAGAAAACTGATGGTGCAGCTTCTGGAATCTCACTGGTCAAGGCTGGATTATCACTGTCTGTGAGTGCCTATATAAATCCTCAGAGACTTACTTGTTCACATATGAGGACACTGCGGAGTATTTGATCACCAGGGGGCAAGACTCCCCTGATGTGCTACCTCCTAAGTGTTGATGGACAATGCAGCATTTCCCAAAATGAGTTCAATGGGACACTAGTTTTTTTCAATACAGTAAAATTATCTTCAGTATGGTTCCATGTGGAACCATACTGGTAGCCACTTGGGACCAAGACCCATTTCTAATGAGACTTTGGGTTATTCTAGTTTTAACTACACCCAGATGTTTTTATTGAAAACTACTTGTTAAAAGCTGTTTCTTGAATTGACCAGTGGTTAAAGTAGTAATTTTCAACAAACAGAAGTGCTCTTCTTCAGTAGGGGTCCCTCTGTGTGTGTGTCTGCCTTACAGCCATTTCAGTGGAGAAATGGGAGAACAAGAAGCTGAGGTGAAATCCCAGGCAGGTACAGGAAGTTGGGGATGGGCCACTCTGAAGTTATACCACTTTAGAATGATGAGGGTCCTGAGACATTTAACCTGAATAGAGCACACTAGCTATGATACAAGGCTGAATACTTATCGAACATATACAGTATGTTAACAAAACAAAAGAACTCTCTATAACAAAAGAACTTTCTAGCTCCATTTCAGCAAAAACCAAGCTAAATGTTTTCCAGGTGTGAGATTCTGTATTCGGAGAACAGAAGAATAGAATAGAATAGACCATAGAAGGAACTATGGCTCTTTCAAGAGGGGCACTGTGAAAGGAATTCTTGTTTCTAGGACCTCTATCATTCCTTCCACTACTGAGACTGTGATTGTCATTTTATACTAAAGGAATTAAATATGCTAGCTTCCTCATATCTTTATTTCCCCTTATTTGCTTATTGCCTCAAAACTTAGTCTTCTTGACAGAGAGGCAGGCTCATCCTTAAAGAGTTTGCTATTCCTCCAAAGACATCTGCTTTGTTAATTTAATTATCATTATGGAAAGGGTGGGAAACCCTTGCATACACCCCCACAAAACCAGTATTCCCATAGCCTACATGATCTGCTGATAGCACAGTCTACCCCTTTTGTGTAGTTGTTTTCATTAATGAATCCAGATACAAATCAAAAATTAATTTTGATACCTATGATTGTGTGGTTTTCTGTATTTAGTAAGTAATCTATAGTATATATTATACTATACTATAGTATGTATATTACATATATATATACACACACATTACCCCTTAACTTAGGCTGAATCCTAGGATACCTGGGATACCAGGGATACAAAAGAAGGTCCCTGCCTTCAGTAAGCTTCCATCATTTCTAATCTTCATAGTAGTCCTGTAGGGTCAACACTACTAACTCATTCAGCTAGTGTGAATCAAATGCAAGCTTTAAGATTTGATCCCTGAACTGTTTTCACTATACCACCCTGCCTCTTTTGATTTAACAGAGAGTTAACTACACCACAGTATCTGGATCAATTAACCATCAGTGTATATCATAACAAAAGAAGAGCTCTGCAAAGATGCTTTTGAAAACAATGATGAACAAAGCCCTAACTTTCTTTTCTCTGGGCTAGACCTGGAGAAGTGAGAAGCTTGTAAAACTTTCCAAGTACAGTTGTACTAAAAGGAATGCTCTTTGTAAAGTGGGGCAGGCCTGAATACAGCTGGAGTCTAAGACCACATGCAGGACATAGGCTATTCCAAAACACTCAGGCCAAGGGGAAAGTGATGCTTACCAAGATTATAAGAGAGCAGACATCTCCTTTTGAACTACCTGTACCCACAAAGTGAAATTCCCCAAATTGGCAATTTTATTTGTATCATTACCTAATACAGTACCTAACACACATTGGGCACTTAATTTGTCAAACTAATGAATAAAAATGGAGACTTTAAAGAGTTTCTTTAAATACTTGTTAATTCAGTCCAGAATACTATCTCTTTGATTCATTCATTTCACTACCACTTTTCCTATCCCACGTGCCCATCCTGGCAAAACGCATTTCTTTAAGCTCCATGTGAAAAGGGCTCTCACTTTTATTTCAAGAGGATTAAGCCTTTAAGAATGTCCATACAGCCTCTCATTCTTTTGACACCAGTTCTCTTGATCAAGCTGTGTTGAAAGTGGTTGCCTCACTGTGCCATT